TTTCCAGTTCGCGCGCGATCGACTGCGCGTCGCCGCGTTGTGAACGCATGCCTTATGCTCGTATCGCCTCTCGCACGTAGGATTAGCGAGAGCGATACTGCGGCTATTCCGCAAAGGTTACGCATGACTCACGTTGCCGGCCGGAGCGAAATCACAGGTAATCACCCTCCTCCCTTCGCCTGGCGGACCTTCGGAAACGCGATGAGTCCGAGAGATTAACACTCTCCGCGAGAGAGTTAGCTTCGATCCGTTTCTCTTTGTGCTCGACCCGCAAAAGTCCTGTTATCCTTGCGAGACGCGCTGACGTGTAGGCTCGCGTTTACTTGGACCTTGCGGTACCCAGCCAGCCCGACGGAGCTGTACGAGTCGGTGTATCATTCACTCAGATGAATTTTCCTCGTGAAATCAATCTCAACCGATTGTCACGCTTGCTGATGTATTTTTCTCGAGCGATAATATCGCTGTGCAAAAAATTCACACAAAGAGTTTGTTGGGGAAAAAAGCGGCGTCGAGAGGTGGACGGAAGGTTCGATGTCCTTGAGAAAAAAAATAATAATAATAACGGCAATTCTCCCCTTTAAAATAAAAAAAACGATACCATTGTATCGATCCTCCGCAACGCCCCGAATATTCTGCGGGGGAGGGGGGGAAGCGGGACGTAAATATTCGGAATTCCCCGGGAAATTTGGCTGAACGTCAGCTGGCCATAAACACCTCCTCGAATGGCAATCGACGGGCAGTTTAGCCGGCGCGATTATCATCGACGGTATCGCGGGGCATCCTTGGCGTGCAGACCTGCAGACGCGGTTCAATGCAACCTGAAATAGGTGCAACGCGGGCGACGGGCGCGCAAGGAGCGAGTGAGTCTTTCCGGTTTCCACTCGTCGGGAAGCGGTGGTAGTATTGGTAGTAGCGGCGGCGGTGGCAACGAGTACCCCCGTCGCTGCAGCGTAGTAGTGACCTTTCAGCCTCAGGATACTGCTTACCTGGCTTATGCAAGCCGCAGTACGCGACGGCGTGGCTGCGGTTTCATTCACAACGAGCCGCACTTCTCGAGTCTCGTGAACAGCGATACTCGGATTCGAGCGAGTATCGAGAGATTTACACGCAGGCGTGATGCGAAATGAAACGGCTCTCCTCCCTCTCTCTCTCTCTCTCTCTTGAGCGGATAGCATCGCGCTCTTCTTAGAATTCCGCTCTATTGTTCATTGACGATAGGATTATGGGATAAAAACGCGAAGCCCCATATCGCGCCACGTCGCGCGAGTTTAATCGGATCGAGCTGATGTGCCTTTCATACGATTAGACCGTTAAATTATGCACGCCGCTCGCGGCGTGTGTCAATGTAAATAAAATGCATGCTAATTGTATGGAAATTATTCGCGTCGCAATCATAAATATAATATCGAGGCGCGGAGAGAGATATAAATGGGGGTACAAATCAATGCAAATTTATTCGCAGTTTTCGCGATCGCGACTCGCGATCGGCCTCGCGCGATTATTTCGCGCTGCTCTCACGCGCTCTTGTTATGCAATTTTTACCGCAGCCCGGTGCTCTCGATTCGGCGGCGGTCGCGAATGAGAGAGAGAGAGAGAGAGAGAGAGAGTGAGGGAGAGACGAGTCGTCCGCTCTGTTTTATTAAACGTCGCGGATGCCGCAATCTCGCCCGGCGCGCTCCGAACTGCGGACTGAATGACCCGCGCTCGGGCGCGTGGGAGCTGAAATGAGACACAAATACGCCAGCGTGACGAAGGGCTAAGGGCTGTGCGGTGGCCATGGTGACTCATGCCATGCACCCCATATGGTCGATCGAGCTGTCGAGCGCATGAGATTCTCCGCGATCGATCGCCGCGCCCGACGATTCAACGTCGCGCTGCGCACGTGCGTATGTATGCGTGTGTCCGTGCGTGTGATACAATTAAAACGGGACAACTTCTCGCGACGGACTCCTTGCGGCCGGTGACTAATATCGAATCAGAAGCGCGACTTTCGCCGGGAGATCCAACGCAAGACGCGCGACATCGGCGTCGGCGTCGGACGGGGAGGAACAAAACGCGAGATGGGCGCGTCATGAGTTCAAGTGCAATTTCCTCCTCGAGAGAGAGAGAGAGAGAGAGAGAGAGAGAGAGAGAGAGAGCGGAGGGGAGGAGGAGAGATTATTATTAGCTGCGTCGAGAGCTTTTCATGGCTCTGCTCGCAGGTGCAGCATCCGCCAGGGAAACTGCACCGTTTCCGTCTTGCGCCGGCTAATTGCTAATTAGACGGCACAATGGCACGTTGCGCGTGCAGCCGGCTTCGTCGTCCTCGTCGTTGTCGTCGTCGTCGTCATTGTCGAAGTCATAGCGTTTGATCACGGCCGTATCATTGACCCTGCTCGTCGGCCGCGGCGAAGGCGACCGTCCGCTGACTGATTATCTGCCGCACGCGCGATGGAAACGAAGTGTCCGGCGACCTCAGAGTCGAATCTGCTCCGCAGGAGTGTCGATTTGACGACCAGCTGGATCGCCGCGTATCGCTTCGTCAAGTGCCAAAAAATCTTCTCTCCAGTCTCACAATGGTGAAAATTGCAGTTACGCGACGAGAACACGTCTGTTCTGCACCTGCGAATCAATCACATGATGTACAGGTGTCAGATGTTACATCGACATACAGGTCAGTGTGACGGGTTGCTTGCCGATAATGCAGAGGTTGCTAAAAGAAGTCACTCGTTGATTTTGTTGATAATAATGTTTGCAGTGGTCCCAGTTGTAACAAGTGCAATTAACTTCGCACAGTGATCCAGTTTCTAGTCGATTCATATACTTTTGCAGAAGCAATCTTTTGTAGAAACATGGATGAAACACAGTATATGAGACTTTTAAATATTATTCCTGTATCGTTTTCTTTCCAATCTTCAATTTCTATCGAACTTTCCAACGTAAGGAAGTAATTGAGAAAAATTACGGGAAACCAGAAAACATTTATATTATTTATCTCTTTGACTATTACTCTTTACTCTGCTATTTATTCTGCTTAATTCCATAATATTTGCCTCTCAGTTGCACTTTTTTAAATATCTTTTCTAATTCAATGAGGTGAACTCCTGTCTCCGGTAATCGGTCGATAAACTGTCATAGCGATCACTATCGTCCGAATACGGGCAAGCAACCCGTCATACCCTGATCAGTATGTTGACGTTACACTCTGTACCAGTGAAGTAGATGGCCGAAGGCCCCCCATGCCTCGGGTTTTTTGCAGTGTTATAAGTGAAAAAAAAATTAGATAAATCGTTTATTTTGCCATTTTGTTTATGTACAAATAATAAATAAAATTTAACTATTCAATAAAATAATTAATAATAATAATAATAATAATAAAAACTTTTTTATTTCTTTTTGAAATATGTAAACATATGTACAAAGAAGGAACATTTTATATACACAAATAATATCTATAAATTTATATTTATAATATTAAAAAAAAGAACAAATTGCTCCTGGTCCTTGGTGGCTCCGAGGCCCCTGTATTCTAACACTCTAACACCTTCTATTTACGCCACTGCCTTGTACAACATGCATTGATTAATATCACGCAGGAGATCACACATCGATAAGTCCCGATTAAAATTTGCGTATCGGTCGACGCAACGCGATGCGCCGGCAGGCGAGTCGATCGGAGCAGCTCCGAGTGGCTCATCGGCACATTCTTCTGCGATTCGCAGACGCGACGATGACGACGTTCGCTCATCGCGCAGTCATCGCGAGAAAGCGAATTGTGTAATAACTCGCTGTTACAGCGGCGTGACGGAGGGGGAAAGAAGAAACGGAAGATAAAAGAAACAGCCAGTGGAAAACGCGAGCGCACGCTCGCGGCCGAACGCCAATGGCGGCCGGGCGCGATAAGATGTTATCGTTATCACGGCGTGACGTTCGGTACACGCGCGATTGCGTAACGCTGCGCGCGTGTGAGCACCGGTCTCTCTCTCTCTCTCTCTCTCTCTCTCTCTCTCTCTCTCTCTGTCTCTGTCTCTGTCTCTCCTTTATCCAAGTCGCGCGTTCTCTCGCGATCGCGTCGGAAAAAGTCGGGGAAAAAACACGCCGCGGCGTGTGACTTCGAAACAAGCGGATCTCTTCCTTTCCGCCCGTCTGAAGCGGCTCGCTCGTTTTCCTTGCATTCTTGTTTGCGCGCACTACGTGTTTCGGTCACGGTCGGGACGAGGACCCCCTCGAGTGTCCTCGGATCAAAGGACCGTCGTTGGGCGGATCGAATATTCATTCGGTCGGCGGAGCTCCTCGAGAAGCACGGAAGAGCGTTGTCGCTATGAGTGCGGCGGCGATTTCGCACTCGTCGAGAGCTGTCTAATTACTCCAAGACGAATTATCTGTCTGAGCACTCCGGCGGGGCGGTCGATGTGAAACAAGGAATCTTTCAGTCTTTGAGGTGATTCCACGAGGCCTGAAAACTCGACTCGCGTCGATTTCACGTGAATGTCGCGAGGGCACGAACGAGCACGTGAACGACACGTCTGTTTTGAACTAATTGAACGTGAGAATACGTTCTCTAATTGGACGCGATGGTTTATATATCGGTGGACTCATCGGGCAATTAGACCCAAAGTCTCTTCGTTGCGTTGAGGGAACATCAGTTTGAAATGAATCGGTTACTGCCGTCGTGAAATCGAGGAGAACTCGGTCATGTCAATTAATTAGTTGGATACATTGATTTATACTTGTCATTGATACAGCTGTTTCATTATGTATGTAATTAGATATAGTAATTATCAATGTAGTAATTATCCGTTCGAATTTCTCAGCGGCGAGTTGTTGCGTTTTCCAGTGATTGAATCCACGACCGAGAGAATGCCACCTAAGGCACCTAAGGTACCGAAACGGTAGAGTGAGAGAGAGAGAGAGAGAGAGAGAGAGAGAGAGAGAGAGAGAGAGAGAGGGGAAGAGAAAGCTTTGCAGTTGTGAAATCGACCTTGTCACCGATGACCAACGATACTTCGTCTCGGTTGCAGGTCTCGAGAGAACGGTGAGTGAGCTTTCGCGAGGAGTGAGGCGAAACGAGCATCCGAGCTGAGGATGCCACTTCCGAAAAGACTGGTGGAGCCCGTGCACGTAGCACGCGGCACTATCCCCGAGGACTTCCCGTTGCCGTCGGAGTTGGAGGCGGCCACCAATGGCACATTAGCCAACACTATCAGACAACTATCCAGCCTGTCTAGGCACGCCGAGGATCTGTTCGGCGAGCTAGCGAGGGAGGCCCATGGGCTGAGCGACCGTGCCAATTCACTGCAAGCTAGGATAGACCGCTTAGCTGTCAAGGTCACTCAGCTCGACAGTAACGTGGAAGAAGGTAAGGCGCGAACGAGGAATAGAAAGGAAGAGAGAAATGCCGCAATGCGATTACGTGTTATCTTGCCGGTGAAAAATGGCGCAATAACTAGAGTAAAACAATATATATATTAATACTGATAATATAACGGTGGTATATTTAACTATCTCTTCGTCGCGCCACCACGTATAGACCGCTGACTTGCTGACCTTTGTCTCTCCATTATTGATTTCGCGTCTCGACGGAGACTTATTTATTTTGATGAAAAGGAGTAACATTCAAAATTCATTATTTTAAAAGTCAGACTTTTCTAATACATTGAGAGACATCAACAGGTTTGGGGTAATATATTAATATTAATATCGAAAGAGATCAGATTGACAGATCACAAAAGTAATATAAAAGTTTGTCCGATGAAGCAATCATAAGAATGGTGCTCGTCGAACGACTCAAGACTTCTTAATGTTTTTTGCAATTGAAAAGATCTAGAAGATCTAGAAGAGTTGCGATTAAAATGATCTAGAAGAAAAGTTGGCGGGGGGAGAGGTGAGAAGAAGTAACGAACATAACATGTGGCTTCCTTTTTCCACGCAGTCTCGTTACAAGACATACACATGAGAAAGGCGTTCAAGAGCTCCGTGGTGTTCGACCAACAAGTCGTCTCCAGGGACACGATGCCGACGGCGATGCTGGAGACGTATCACCAATGCGACACACCGCCGCCGCTGGATAAGCTGAATATTTACAGGTAATTATAAGCGACGCGTTCAAGTCCTCATCGATCAAGCTGCCGAGATTGAACTCGAAGATAGATCCGCGACTGTTGAAATTCTCTCGTGGTTTTCAGGGAGGACGGTAAGGACGGCCTGAAGTTCTACACCGACCCGAATTACTTCTTCGACCTCTGGAGTCAGGAGATGCTCAAAGACACGGAAAAGAAGCTGCATGATCGGGGGAAGAAGGTGAGTCCTCGCTGGGGTAGCTCGTACTCAATGGCGCACCTCGACGACTGCGGACGTTTCACGCAATTTCACTGCGAAATGTTCACGACCCGAATACGCGCGCATCCGTCGTGTTCCGAGAGAAGCCGATAGATGAAAGCGAGAATCAGTCGAGCATAAAATTCTGTTCGGCCTTCCTCGGTTGCCCTTGCAGCGGTCGGGGTGCGTGAGAAACTCGTAGAACTGTGAACTAGTCTTAATGATGTATATCTTATGATACAAAATAATGTTTGCTGCGATTCTAACTACTGAAACTATGTCCCCTTCGTTGTAGAGCGAGTCTGAATATGCCGAACCGTTCAGAGAGGCAAGTCGATGGTTTGGATCTTTGTAGTTTTTTCTCTATTTTACACCCTTCATACGAAAAACATCCAGTGTCTCTTTCTCTCAGTGAATCGACCTGACCGCCCAATCAAACTCTCTCATCGTATATACTCATCGCACTCTCATCGTATATAATCAGTACTCTCTCACTTCTCTCTTTCTCTCTCTCTCTCTCTCTCTCTCTCTCTCTCTCTCTCTCTCTCTCTCTCTCTCTCTCTCTCTCTCACTTCTCTCTCTCTCTCTCTCTCTCTCTCTCACTTCTCTCTCTCTCTCTCTCTCTCTCACTTCTCTCTCTCTCTCTCTCTCTCTCTCTCTCTCTCATGATTTTGTCTGTCATTAACCGACCTTTTTGCGCTGACATAGAGACTGACGCTATAGATGCTCGCTTTCTCAAACGTTACGTAGTTACGCTGACCACTCTTTTGTCGGTGGGGACACACACTCTACATTCACCGTGCGCGTAGATCGAACGCGTGAGCACGTCGCTTCCTGCTCGAGAGGCGTCCTGAGTTCTCGAAGAAGGAACTGCGCGAGGTTCCATCTACGCGGGACCTGATCTGATGAAGTCCCACAACCCCACCCCTTTCTCTCTCTCTCTCTCTCTCTCTCTCTCTCTCTCTCTCTCTCTCTCTCTCTCTCTCTCTCTCTCTCTCTCTCTCTCTTCCTCCCCACCCACTGTAAATTGAGTTGTGTTTTTGAAATACGAAACAAGTCTCTCACACCCGCCATCACCCACCGTCACCTTGTGGATCACACTTGTGTAATGCCGTTCATTGCCAGTCATGCAAGTTTTGAATGTACTTATATACATATAGAACTGCGTCATCTACTCATCATCCACCAAGTCATCTTCGATCGACTCCGATCACCCACATGATCTCGATCGTCCACATCACCCACATGCCAGGAAATATATCTCATCTTCATTTTGCCATGTCTATTGCGTAGGAAATAAAACTGTCCGCGAGAAGCGAATCGTCCGAAATCCCCTTTTTCACGACGACGTCGCGTCTCCGACGAAATTGACTCTCGCAGCGTTTCACTTTTATTTCCTACTTATATACACATACATAAATATATATATTCTCATATCCCACTCAACTATTGATCCAGTAAAATATCCGACCGTAAAAGAAGAAAACACGTCGCTCTAAGAGCGTTAGCGACGCGCGAAATTAAGAGAGATAACTCGATGATTGCGACCTCGGCGACCAGATCGGCGCAAACGCCGCTGCCACTGGATCAATCGTCGGAATCGTTCTTGACTTTTGAAAACCGATTGTGCTTGACTTACATGCGATGCACCTTGTTCGTCCATCCGTCTACGCACGACGCCTTTTAATTCGCTCTCTTCTGCGACACACAGCCGCACAGGCCTCGGAACGAGGATGGCGGCGGAGGAGGTGGCAGACACAAGAAGCGCGTGAGACAGCCCCACAACACCAGGGAACGGCAACGGCAATTGGCCGTCGGCCACGGCGAGTACATCATGCCGTCGCAAGGCATCCAGTACAGAGCGCCGCACAGCGTGCCCGATGATGCGCTGCTGGGCATGGTGATGACGGAGCCGCGTCCACCGAGGCCCAACAGCATCGAGCTGCAGCGGAGTTACCCTCCAGAGGGACAGCATCTCTACAGTCCTCCGTCTTCCGATCACTACAGGTGGGAGAGCTCGCTGCGACAAAGCTCAAATTCAGTTATATTATATAGGTAGTATAATATTATATGCGAATATTCGTATCACTGTGCTATATTACATACATACATGTTGAGGTAGATTTAATAGTTAATGTTATCATATAATATTAATTAGTTGCTACGATTATATCATAGTTACGCAATGCTATAATTATAGGCGATAACTATACTATAGAAAAAGTTATTGATAATTATGCTTGAGTCGAGTAACGGCATTTAATCAACGATATTCTCTTGCAACAGGGCGACAAACTACGTGACTCAGGGCTACGACGAGAACCTATACGGCTCGCACTACGCTCCGGGTCAGGTGCCGGCAGGCAGTGAAACGTATCAGAGCCCTGGCGGTCAGAGCACGCCGAGTAGAGGTGGCAGGTCGCGGCCGTCGCAACCTCCGCCAGCACCGCCGAGCAACGCTTCCAGCAACTCCACGCCCACAGTGGCCTCCGCCAACAATACGCCGACAAGGGGAAGATCGATGAGTACCGGCAGGGATACTTTGCCGCCGCCGCCGCCGCCACCTGGAGAAACTATGTCTCCACCTTCCATGAACGGTGCTCTTGTTTTCTCGCTGATTATTCTTTTACTTGCTTCTACGTTTGTTTATTTGATCGTAAATCTAGAGAGACAATTTTATATATCGTTACTTGTAGATAATAATAATGTTTATCATGGTGTTGCAGGCTCCATACCGTCGCACTTACTGAACAGGAACGGCAGCCGGTCGGACAGTCCTTTACCAAGTCGACGCTCCACGCCAACACCGCCAAACCACGCGGGACAGTTGGGTACGGACGAGATAGATCCGGCACCCCAAGATCTTCCACCGCCACCGCCCACCCCTGACCCCACTCCACCGAGGCCGATCTCACCTCCGTGCAACATCCCGCCACCACCGCCGCCTCCGCCGCCACCACCGGTCGCCAACGGGCCCGTTGTGGTGCCGGCGATGACGAACGGCGACATTGCGAAGATGATCGCGACCAACCCGCCGAAACTGAAGCCCCTGAAGAGCATCGTGGCGGACGGAAACCTGAGGAAACCCGTCAACCCGAACATCCCCTTGGTCGACCCTCGGAACGATCTGCTCAAGGCGATCCGCGACGGTGAGTTTTCGATTATAAGATTGTCAAGATATCCATTTTCGTGTTCATTGTTGGAAGCTATAATTATTTTACAATCCGCCCCCATCAGGAGTCGGCCTATTTCTTGCGCAAGAGGAGAAATTCACTGAAATTATATAATCATACTTCTTAGTTTATAATTATTTTACCACAATTCTAAAGTCATACACGATGAGGTATCAAACACTTTTCCAAGTGTGGAGATTTCAGGTTAGTGTTGAGCCAACTGTTTATTGAAGGCATACAGTTGCAGCTGGTAGATTAGATGCTGAAGACAAGAATAAAATAATAAACCTATTAATCAAGCGACTCTATTCAGCACAACCTAGGGACGTGTCCCATAAATGAAATATCACTCGTTATTGAGTTAAAGTCACTGCTTCGCCTTGGCAGCCTACGCAGCCGTTTCTCACTCGTCGTCCCTCCGTCTCGGTCTTGCAGGCATAAAGTTGCGCAAGGTGGAGAAGATCGAGCAGAAGGAGGTGGAGCGCGTGAACGCTCTCAACGACGTCGCTTCCATCCTGGCGCGCCGCGTCGCCGTCGAGTTCAGCGACAGCGACTCAGCCTCGGAGAGCGAGTGCGACAGCGAGGGATGGGGCGAGCAGGAGAGCAATCTAGCGTGACCCAACTCCCTGCCATCCGCCGCCACCGCTGCCACTGCCTCCTAGGGAAAAGGCTGACGATTCTCTCGATTCTTTCGTGTCTCCGTAGCCGAACTACAACTCGTCGTCTGGGAGGATCCGCGAGGACGTTCGCGCGCCTCACCTTACATTAAGCGAGCCCGGATCCTTCCGGGACTGGAATCAAGCGAATCCTCGGTTCACGTTCTCAACGAAGATCGCTCTTGTCGCGGGGGACACGCGTTGTAAGGATATGATTTTATATAGATTAATTTATTAGTCAGTCATCGAATGCGCGCAAACAAAGACAGTCCGTTGTTCGATCCTTCTACATTCATACTCCTCGTTACTTTCGTTACTCAACTCAACAACAACGAGAGAAATCAAAGTGGAATTGTCGTTTTTCGTTATCAGCTTGCTCACTTCCCGCTGACTGGAGACTTTATCCTGTTGAAAGCAAAACGGACATTTCAGCCCTGAGGAGAAAAGTAAAGGGGAAAAATACATTCGATCTATGAGATATGATACGTCATGCGTTGACACGTTGACTGCCATGGTTGTAAAGTATATATAATCCATTGCTTGCAAGAAATTAAGTATACGTAGTCAGTAAGATGCGAATCAAACGAATTAGTAGCGAGTAGAGAGATCGCGCGCTTGTTTACTTTCCATTTTATCTTTGGCGACTCAGATTTTCTAGTTGAGACTTAGTCGAGCATCGAGGCGGCTGGTGCAAATCAGCAGCGAATGGCAGTCAACGTGCGCAGAGGTTCAGCTCCGACGACTTTTCGAGTCCGTCACAGCCACGGGGCTCGTTTATTCTTAGGTCTCTCTCACCCGTCAGTCAGCCCGCAACAGCGAATACCGGCCGGCCAATCAGTCACAGACCGAGGCAATAGCACACGCGCAGTTTTAGTTTAATCACTCTCTCTATCTCCTTGAGACGTTGTCGAGGACGCGCTAATTGCGGTCAATTTGATCGCGACGTAGCCCTCGTTACGGCGAATCGCGCGACATAGTTTCAAAATGCAGCGAACGGGAGCTCGTGAGCTCGCCTAGGCTCGCGCACGCACACGCGAGCTTCACACACACACACACACACACACACACACACACATAGGTTATTAACGTAAAAACGTAGGGGGAGAGGGAGGGCTGTCGACGCGGTTGCGACCCCCTCCCCGGGGCCCGCTTGCGCAGGAGGAAGAAGAAGAATCGGCTTGACAGTGGCTGAACGTCGCGCGTTTACGAATGCAAAAGAAAGAAATTACTATTCTGTAATGTGTTAATAATGATTTCATTAGTTCTCCAAACGAACTTGCGCGTCACGTAGGTTCCCCGACCGAGCTTAATGATTATTTGCGTAAATTTCAGTCGAGTGGAATCGCACGAATGTAAAACTTGCGGATTTTGGCATTCGGTGACTAGCGCGTGTCGTTCAGGCTGTCAGCGTGACACGCGCACAGAGACGAAGACGAGAAAGCGGACATCGGTACTCTTACCGAGGTCGTGGCTCGACCAGCTCACCGCTCGCCAGGCGGAGCGACTTCCTTTCCCGGCACATTCCATAGAAATGTTGTACGCAACGATCATTCATTCACTCATTCACGTTACGATAAAAAGGAACAGAAGGATTAATAACGATAATAGTATAATAATAATGATAATAATTATGATAATGATAATATATATATACACATGATAAGTATCTACTTACCCTGATAGAGGCGTGCGCGCTCCGCGTTAATGAGATGCCGTAAACGAGACATCGGTGCGAGTTAAACCAAAAGGCAGGGTTTAGGTATTCTCCCTCTCTTTCCCGTGCGCGAGGAACTGTAAGATGAAACACTGTCTATCTGTCTGTCTGTCTGTCTGTCTGTCTGTCTGTCTGTCTGTCTGTCTGTCTGTCTGTTTGTCTGTCTGTTTGTCTGTCTGTCTGTCTGTCTCGTGATTATTTCGCGTGTCTCGCTTGGTCATACGCACAGAAGAGTCTTCCGTCAGAGCGGATCTCTCTGTTCACCGCATTTCCGAGCCGCGATCTTCCATGCCGCGTCGGCGGGCGTTGAAGGATGATGATGAAGAGTCGGGGCGGGGTGACGCCAAAGTCATCGCACCGTTCGCGCGAATATCTCTACCGAGAATCCTTATTTTTATACGACAGTTGCGTAATAACGAAAGAGCAGGAGGCAAGATGGAAGCCTGGAACCTTTCACTTTCGTTGGGACTCTACAGACAACGAATGATTATATTCGCTCAATTGTTGGATCTTATATATCATACAAATTGTACAATATTGTATATAATTATAAACGTACTGCGTATTGCGTATGTAATTATAATTATATACTTACTTAACAATTATTTTCTCTCTCACTTAGTTTTCACACAAATAACTCATCGTCGCGCGTCGCATGCGACGATCTTTTTCTCGAACAGGATAAAACGGGGCGCACGGGGATTTTATTTAGAGACATCCGAGAGAACCATGCGATCACTTCGACAGCGTTCACCCTGCGCGGTAGAGACACTCTCTCTCTTTCTCTCTCTCTCTCTCTCTCTCTCTCTCTCTCTCTCTCTCTGTCGAGAAACCAAAATACTCCATTAAACGTAGGGCGCGACGGCGGTGCGACTAAACGCGGCTGAGGATCGATATTTTTTAGCGTAACTCGACTCGGGCGAGAAAGAGACGGGGAGAGAATATAAATATATACATATATAAATATAAATATAGAATCGTGTATCGCGTTGTTAACGACGAGGAGCACACAGAGTTGCCAATTGATACGGTAACGGCGAAGAGAGGGGAGAAATGATTGTGATTTATTTTGCATCGATATGGGTGAAGTACGACGACGACGACGACGACGACGACGACGACTACTACTCTAAATAAGCCGAATACGCATATGTATACATTATACAGATTATATATATATATATATTGATCGTTATGTAAGGGATCGCCGTGAAATCCCACGGGCGGCGGCAAAGAGGACGCATTTTCCTTTCCTCCTTTCCCGCCACCCGCCGGTGGATTTCCCCGAGTGAAGTCTGTAAATTTTCTTGTATGTACCGCGAATCTTCTTCTGTAAGTAATTGATGATAGCTACCGATAACGCAAACTGCGAGCGAGCGATTCTGTTGGACGCGAGGCGCACGAACGTTCGAATGTTTTGCCTGCTGAGCGAGCTGCTGCGCGAGTCCATTCGTTTTTGCACTCGAATCCTTTTTTTCATTTTTTATATTTGCGCACCATTCTTATCTTCTTTCGAGAGAACAGTTGGATCGAGCTTCGCTCGAGTTCTCCTCGGGGAGAATCAATTTTTCCACTCATGTATTTTTCCGTTTCTTTCCGTTTTTTTCAATTTACAAGGATAAGCCAGTTTCAAACTTCTCCGGGCGATTATGCGCGCGCTTATCTCTCTCCTTCTCTCCTTCCTTTCTCAAGTCAAACCCTTCATTTCACCCTCTTGTGGGCGTTCGATTGAGTCGAGCCGCGCGTAACTGTCACTCTTATATTTAACATTTCACCGTGTGTATATAAAAGTATATATATATATATAACGCGAGCGCGTGAAGGCTCAGCGGCACGCGCGAGCGATTCATTGGCGGCGGTGGCGGCGGCGCGTGTACATTTTCACGTGAATCTAAGGTCACAGCCGGAAACTGATGCGGCGTAATAATATTGTAACATTACAGCACCCGTGCCCGTGCAACAACGCGTTTACATGCGCGGCTCGTCGAGCCGCCTGAGAGAGAATTAAAGCTCAAGCCTCGGTTAGTTTATTTAAAGCTGGACAAAGTCTCGCGCGCGCTGTAAACACGGCGCGAAGTTCAACCGCGCACGCGCGCGCGCGCGGTTCGATCTCTCGATGCGCCCGCGGGAGGAACGATCGGTACCCTTCGCGACGAAGCCGGCGAGGCGCGTCGCTCTCTCTCTCTCATCTTACGTCTCCACGACTTTGTTTAGTTCTTTAAATAAATTATGCTCTCCACGTTGAGTGTTTACTTTTTATTTCGCTAATTTTTCTCATACAGAGGGTGCACCAATAATTCTCCCCTATCTCTCTCTCCGGCTTTCTCCTCTCCAAGCGTCAGTCAGTTGTTTCTCGTGTTTTCACTTTTTCCCTCAATGTCTGAAACATGACGAGTCCTCGAGGCGTACTGTCGATCCTTTCGGAGATATTGGCGCACCCGGCGTATACAAGTAGGAGCGATACAACGCGCAGCGTAGGTAGACGTAAGGAAACTAGACGTAAAAGGATATTCTTAGCTATCCCGCCAATTTACGACACAGTATTTATCGGATGTTTTTTCTAAGGATCAATGCGAAGAACGAAGAGGGTAGGAGAGGGGCGAGGAGAAGTGTTTTCTTTTTCGGACGTGAGTCTTTTCGACGTCGCGCGCACGCGAGTTTGTACGAGCGGAAAAATTGAAGAGAAAAAAGAAATAAAGTAAGTAATAGCTGTATCATTCACTCGTCGACCGACATGCTTATAACCGCAAGGTTTCCCGTACTAAATTATTGTAAAAGCCGCTGTACCTAAGTCCACGGGTATTCCAAAGCTTATGTAACGAAGTTTATGCTCGAGGGGTAGTTGATAAAAAAAACGACCGTCGGAAGTCGGATGTAGACCGACGTACACACACACACACACACACACACATGTATGTGTGTGTATGTGTGTGTGTGTATACGCGGGAACCCGACGAAGCAACAAAAAAGGGGGGAGGGAAGGAGAGACTAAAAACCTACGACGAAGACGAACGTTCTGGGCTCTCTCTTGAATTGGTCCCTCTGGGATCCGCGGGAGAGGGGGAGAGAGAGAGAGAGAGAGAGAGAGAGAGAGAGAGAGAGAGAGAGAGAGAAATCCAGCCCAGAATGCGAGCGTCACTTACCCACACCGTTACAAATATACGATGGTATTATTAATAATAATGAATTTGTAGCAAATCTGTACAGAGCCAAATAAATCAAAAAAATTTCGTAACTTTCCGCATCTGTTTCTTCGAGAGTCTTCGTGAGCCTTCAAGGGTCGAACTTGATCCGGAAGTCAGAGCCGATTCCTCTCGGTTGATCGCTTACCTTACTTTCCAGCTGTAACTTTTAGTGGGATCTCGCGGAGACTCTCGGCGGGGATCTTTCAGTCACATGTACGCTTACGTACATACACAGGCGCGCGCACACACCGACTTTGTGTATAATAAAATTAACATTTTATTTGAAAAATCGAGACATACACAGATGCGAAAACAATGGTATTACATTGGTAGCACCGATAAATAGACGTTGAAACGATACTTTGAGACTTTAGAGTGACTATGCGCGGGCTGATTGCTCGATCGGTCGATATCAGTTCGCTCAATCTTTGTCGGACGCGCCGCTCGCGTGTCGCGATATCCTTTTTCTTCCTGATCACCGAGCAACAGCTTTCTCGCGGCTCGATCGGAGCGACACAGGGTGTCCATAGAGTCCCTGCCTGTCCCTGAAGGCGAAGTCATGCTCGCTCGTTTTCTAGCCGAAACTATCCCTCAACTTCACCAATTAAGGGTTATAATTAAATCACTAACAATTCTAATCGATCAGTCTGTTCATTCCCTAGAGCCCTTAATTAATATTAGAGCTATTAACGAAGGCGTAAATATGTCAGACTTAAGCAGAATTAATGACGCTGAGAAATCATACGAATAAAAAATTATGCCTGAAAAGAAGTGATTTTATTTCTTGCAATTATCAGCCGCCAATGCCCGTGCGTTCTGTTCCAATTAATTAGACTCCAGACACTTTGGATGTTCCCCTTACATTCAGAAACACTCGACATCACGAATGATGCGAGATTAAAAAGAAAAAAACGAAGAAAGCTTGTCATTAATTTCTCATCGCTGCGTCGCGAATGATGTAAAATTAAAAAAAAAGAAGAAAGCTTGTCATTAATTTCTCATCGCTGTGTCGCGAATGATGTAAAATTAAAAAAAAAAAAGACGAGGAAAGCTTGTCATTAATTTCTCATTGCTGCGTCGCGAATGATGTAAAATTAAAAAAAAAAAGAAGAAAGCTTGTCATTAATTTCTCATCGCTGCGTCGCGAATGATGTAAAATTAAAAAAAAAAAGAAGAAGAAAGCTTGTCATTAATTTCTCATCGCTGCGTCGCGAATGACGTAAAATTAAAAAAAAAAAAGAAGAAAGCTTGTCATTAATTTCTCATTGCTGCGTCGCGAATGATATAAAATTAAAAAAAAAAAGATCAAGAAAGCTTGTCATTAATTTCTCATCGCTGCGTCGCGAATGATGTAAAATTAAAAAAAAAGAAGAAAGCTTGTCATTAATTTCTCATCGCTGTGTCGCGAATGATGTAAAATTAAAAAAAAAAAAGACGAGGAAAGCTTGTCATTAATTTCTCATTGCTGCGTCGCGAATGATGTAAAATTAAAAAAAAAAAGAAGAAAGCTTGTCATTAATTTCTCATTGCTGCGTCGCGAATGATATAAAATTAAAAAAAAAAAGAAGAAGAAAGCTTGTCATTAATTTCTCATCGCTGCGTCGCGAATGATGTAAAATTAAAAAAAAAAAGAAGAAGAAAGCTTGTCATTAATTTCTCATCGCTGCGTCGCGTATGACGTAAAATTAAAAAAAAAAAAGAAGAAAGCTTGTCATTAATTTCTCATTGCTGCGTCGCGAATGATATAAAATTAAAAAAAAAAAGATCAAGAAAGCTTGTCATTAATTTCTCATCGCTGCGTCGCGAATGACGTAAAATTAAAAAAAAAAAGAAGAAAGCTTGTCATTAATTTCTCATTGCTGCGTCGCGAATGATATAAAATTAAAAAAAAAAAGATCAAGAAAGCTTGTCATTAATTTCTCATCGCTGCGTCGAGGGCAAAGACAGACATCGATTCTACGGGCACGCTGTATTCCCTAATGTAACAAAACGACTCCTCCTCCGACCGTTTTCTCGACGAACGAGTTATATATTTCTAGAGAGCTAGAGAGGGAGGGGGGGGGGAGAGAGAGAGCGCGGAATGTATTTATAAATATATCTACGCGGGATGTACCACGAGATGCGCCGCGCGATCGTCGGCGCTCCTCGTCGGTACGTCCCGCGTCGTGAAATCGCAGCAATCGTCCTCGTTAGAGAGATAGGAAAAAGGAACTATCGACGACATTCAACGGATTGATCTCCGACGAGTCACCTATTCTCGAATTTTGATCGGCCTCTTTTTTTGAATCTCCTCTCCTCCGTCGCAGCCGTCGCGGCCTCCTCCGATCCTGCCGCAGCTATCTAAAAACCAGCTAGTAAAGTTGCTCTCTTACCTCTAATTCGTTCTTCCTACATAAGGATCCTCTTATATATAAATAGCGCTATGTACAAACGTAACGGACAACCGAAATGAAAAAGGATCAACGTGTTGTTGTTATTATTGGTCGCAAGCGTGACAAATGTGACGGCGGGTCTGACGAACGAACGAACAAACGAGCGTTGCGCTGGACGAGATGAATTCCGACGCTGCGCGCATGCGCGGCAGAATCGATCGAGAGATCGATCGTCGCCGTGGAATCAGCGGCGGGAAGATCGCGACACTTTCGTCCCGATGAGCTTTTCGCACGCCTGGACGTAGATCACGGAGATCATCAAGGATGCGGTCAGGCACAGTCCTGGCACAGTCCCCAGGACATCCTGGATATGCCCAGGACGATTCTCTTGCTATCCGGGCGTGTTTTTCCGACGATTTTCCGACGATTACGGAAACGCAAATTCGCCTCTTGAACGCTTTGCCGAATTCATCGGGAAGAGAAGAAAGACGTCGCAATCTTCCTTCCTTCCTTCCTTCCGTCCTTCCTCCCATCCTTTCGCGGCTATTTGAGCAGCGTTCACGATCGCGTCGATCCTTCCGATCCGCGCCTAGCGCTGGCCGATCTTCTCGTCGAAGCGTAAAAATTAATGAATCCGCGGCCTCCCTAGATATTCGTTATTGTTGGCACTGTTATTGTTGCAACGCTCCCCTCACCGTGGTTCGCGTTCCCCTGGTCTCTGCTTTTGCTTTTCCCTAACTTTTCCGCGCACCTTTATCGGTGAGAATCGCATCGTCGGTGAGAAGGCATGTCAGCTTCAACGCGAGAATTCGTGGAATGCGCGAGGCGATAGAAAATGAAGAGGAATCGCGAAAGCGCAGAAGCCCCGACGCGAGCCGACGAATCTTGCATTGTCTCAAATATTGCATCTCTCTCTCTCTCTCTCTCTCTCTCTCTCTCTCTCTCTCTCTCTCTCCCTCTCTCCTTGACACTCGCACGGCTTCTGCGCCTTTTACATGTTTGGATCGCATCGAGTCTCTCCGTGAGACGTCGGCGCCCGTCCCTCGTCGGAATCGCTGCTTTTGATCTAAAGAAAAGGCGCGTCAACTCGAAAGCCGAGAGACATCCAAGTCCTCTCGGAAGTATCGAGGCTTCATCATGCTGCCTCCTTTGTGCGCGACGACGCCGGTCGCTTCTTTCATGCGTCTCGGGTGGTCCGGGACGAAGAGGGTCAAGGGGTGAATCGCAGTCCCGGGGATTACACGGGAGGGTCGATCGGCCCGACGTGACGATTAACGTGACCGAACGCGATTCTCGTTGAAGTCAGCGAAACTTCTGGTTCTTACGAGACACCAGAGGTCTGTCCCTCCGACGAGAACGCGTTTGGTTTGCACGTCGAATTTCCGTCCGAAAGACGAAGCAAGCGGCGACGTGTCCGTCTCGAGTCGAGTTTCCGCGTCGCTCGGAAGCGAAGCTGCGGTGAATTTTGACAAGCGGAAAACCACGACGTGTCTGAAGGAATCGCACAATGCCGTGTCTCCGCTGAACTTCAAGAGACTTTTATTATCGTATAATAATTATAAATAATTCGAATATAATTTCTCATTATGTAACAGTCACAGGCAATTTAGATATCTGTGAGGAGAAGCGAGCGTCGAAATTATAATTATCGCGCGTACATGTGTGCTCCTTTCTCAATTATATATTATTTATACAGATGCGACAACGGATCTCTCTAAGCGCTTGCAGTGTCCGTAAAATCGCACAATTCACTCGCCGAATGGTTAAGTAATAATTAATAATTAGTCGTCGCTCGGTGAATCGGTTCGCGAGTGCGCGCGGCGAAATTTCCGCGAGTCTTCGAGACGTTATTCAGTTGGCACTGTTACCGATCGCTTTCCTTCTTCTCCTTGCTTTCCTTTTGTTTGTTTTCCTTATCCTTTTTTGTCAGAGAGAGAGAGAGAGAGAGAGAGAGAGATCAGCCTTTCCGCGTCGGTTCGTGATGCAGCTCGCGCGAGTTAAAACTACCCTTACTATATTAAATTGGCGCTTCGTTGATCCCCCCCCCACGCAGAAGCCTTTCATCCGCGTTTCAGCCGAGAGAATCACGCGCGGGTCACGTTCCCCCCCTCCCCTCCCCCGAGGCTACAATCCTGAGATCACATCCGAAAGCGACGCGACATCCCGCGATATTGTGTTTCTTTTTCATTTACTTTCTTCCTTCCCCCGCGAGTCGCAGCGTTCAGGTGCGGCAGCGAGCTCCCTCGCTAGGTCTCACGCGACCGAGAGAGTCGTCTCTTCCTCGGCGACACGTTTGTCCTCGTGTCAAGCACGGACAGAATCTTCGCCCCCAGGTAGAACGCAAAGTCAAGACGACGGAATGATGACCGAAAAGCGCGAGTCGCTTCGACGTTATCGTCACCTTCCGTCCCACCTGGGCCTGGCCGCAGGCCCACGGCGAGGCCCACCTGAAACGCGGCGGATCGCACCCCCCCCCCCCCACGCCCTCCCGTTATCACGCCCTTCTCTCATTTGGCACGATGTCATGGAGGTGTATGATAATACTCGCGACGCGGATCTCCCACAATTCGCGTCCTGCCCGTTCGCTGCGCCCGCGACAAATTCCAGACGCGAGGAGGGAACCCCAAGATCAGCAGCAAAGCTCGGTAGAATCGAGCCGAGACAATGAGAACGACAGCCGCGAGCCGCGAAGTAAGGCGGGGAGAATTCTCCTCGCGACGAACGAGCGCGCTCGCGCGGAAACGGACCTCCGGAGGAAAGCGCGAAGAGCGCTCGCCCGGAATCGCGATTGTTTCCTCCTCTTCCTTTCCGTTCGTCCTCTGCTTCGCCTCCTCCTACCTCCGGAGCCCCCCGCCCGATCGGTCGGCGGCGGCCGAGCGAAACTCTGCAGCGCGAGCGTGTTAATCGTGAGTGTGTATTCTCCGTGTATTCTCCGTGTCCGAGAGACATCTCTCGCGTTCTCACACATATAATATATACGATAAAATTTAAACGATGCAAAGTTGAACGAAGAGACAACAACATACTCTAAGTGTTACTTTCCGTTCCGTCCGCCGAGAAGGAGGACCTCCCCGGCCGTCCGTGGCCTTTCCGCTGCGCCGGCGAGGAACCGCAGCCGGCGGAGGATCAACGGCTGATATTCAATCGGGATCGTCGTCTCGTTATTTTCAAAGCTGAGGAGTTTGATTGTCTGACAAACAGACGAACAGCCGACGACGGCCTGATTTCTCACACGCGTCCGAAATGATTTGTGCCGTATTCTTTTTTTTTTCTTTTTTTTTTTTTTTGCGAAACAGCAAACGAATCAATTCTCAACTGTCAAACTTTGAATTATATCGACTTTCCGCGCTAATGAGACGTCTTAATGAAAATCGAAACCCTTGCGGAGAGAAAATACCGCGCGCGCCAGAGCGAAAGGGCCGGACGATCGACGAGGATCTCCTCGACGAGAGCCTCGGCGAACGATCAATAAACATTTCATACAGCAACGATCAAATCGAGGACTTTCGAAACGACAGAAGGTTGCTTGATTGATTGATGATGCTTCGTCGCGGATATTACGTAAGAATGCCGCAGAAAAGAAAGTGCGTGCGCACGAGCACTTCGTTCTTCGCGTCCGATTTGTTTTCTCCGTTTTCTTCCTTTCTTTCTTTCTTTTTTTTCTCCACAAGGAGAGATAGAAACAGTCTTTGTGTGTGAGTGTATGTGTGTATGTGTGAAATCACACGTCCCTGGAGCCGGCATCAGATGCCGCGCTCTTTTATATCTACCTGGGACTCTCGTCGACTGAACCCAATCCTTCCCGAGCGGCGCGAAGGTCCGAAGGACGTCTCGAAGGAGTTCGACCGGTTTACGAGTTCCAGAAAATCCATTTCCTCCGTTTGTAGAGAAAGAGAAAGAGACAGACAAATAGACAGATAGAAAGATAGAGAGAAAGAGAGAGAGAGAGAGAGAGAGAGAGAGAGAGAGAGAGAGCCAGGCAGGCAGCCAGACAGACAAACAGCGCGTGTCTTTACAAGAATGAATAAAGATTAACAAAGTTATCTTTGTACAAGCGCGGGCGCGCAGGAGCCGGTTTCACTATTTCGCAGCGACGTGGCCGAATTCAGTCTTTCTTTCGCGTGTCCCCCCGAGGACGATCCCCGGCGTGAACCCGACAGGAAGTCGCTCGAAGAAGCAACTCGTCACCGTCGCTCGTTATCCATTGAAGAGACCAACTGGCGTTGCCCACCCTGAAGAATAACTCGTTCCGCCGTTCTGTTTCCGCTCAAGAAGCAACGAGCCGCGATAGAGCGCTTGTTGCGTCCTTCAACAAGAACGATAAAGTTGCCTAATAATCCCTCTGGAATAAAACCGCGAGAAAAGCGATGAAAAGAGACGCGGTCGAAACTCGCGAGTACGCCCTTTGGACCTTCGCGTCAGCCCAACTCCCACTCCCCCCAGTCGCCGTCGTGCGCAACAAACAGTCCGAGTCGCGACGGCCGCATCCCCTTGCCCGAGAACCTGAGGAAAATCCTGAGCGACGTGTCACTTGGACAAGCTCCGACACGACCCTGACGCCTCTCCCCCGTCGTCTCTTCACTCCTGCTCCACGCTGATGTCCACCGTCCTCACCCGGGACGAGTCGGTCGGCAAGAGCTGCAGGCGCTCGGGTTCCGCGTCCAACATGATGATGCACATGAAGCTCTTGCCGGAGGCTTGATCCTTCGGATAGATGGTAACCGGCGCGAACTTGTCGACCGAGCCGTCCACGTAGGAGCAGAGCTTCCGGTACACTTGGGGGAAGTGCCGCCTCAAGGACACCCCGCGCAACCTCAGCTGCCGCTGGATGTTGGTGAAGCTGATCTCCCGCGCCTTCCGCGGCGTGTTCTGCCCGTTGTTGCCCGGCAACGAGGTCAGCACCAGAGTCTCGGGCGAGTCCATCTCCCGGGTGATGTTGCACGGCGACGCAGGCGGCTGCTGCTGTTGTTGTTGCTGCTGCTGCTGCTGCTGCTGCTGCTGCTGCTGTTGTTGCTGCTGCTGCTGCTGCTGCTGCTGCTGCTGCTGCTGCTGCTGCTGCAGCTGCAGTTGTCGTCTAGCCTGCGGCGACGTCGACGACGAGGAGGCGTGCTGTTTAGCCGCACCGTCCAAGCGGATCTTCGCGCACCTGGACACTAGCTGGCGCTCCCACCTGACGGCGCCGCTGGTCGGCACCTCGCTCACCACGCACACCGCCACGTAGAGCACCAACCGCGCCTCAGGATTGTACGTCTTGCAGAGGCGCATCAGCTCGGCGTAGAGCTCGGCGCCCATCTCGCCCGGCAGCAGGTCCGACCAGCGCACGTAGGTGGGCTCGCCGAGGTCGGCGAAGCCGTTACCGACGAAGCGCTCCGCCGCTTCCGGGCTCGAGAAGAAGCATTTGACCGCGCCGCGACCCTGAGCGGCGTGGCCGCGCCGGGCGAGCGCGGAGATGTGCTTGAGCGTAGCTGGGTCCTCCTTCGCCGAGGACAATACCTGCCGGCAGAGGCTGCCGGCGCGCGAGTGCAGGCAAGTCCTGCGGTGACGTTGCCAGTGCGCCCGCCGGCACTCGCGCGAGCAGTACAGGCAGGTGCAGTTGTGGCAGCTCTTGTAGGTCCTGCGCGCCTCCGCCAGCGTCGTGGAGTTGCCGCACTTGTTGTTGCGGCAGCGCACCACCTTGTCCGCCGAGCTGCCGCCGTTCGTCGAGTCCTGCGCGTTGTCGAAGGAGACCCTGCGGTGACGTTGGACGCTACCGCCGCCGCCGCCGCCGCCGCCGCCGCCGCCGCCGCCGCGCGGCATCAACGACGATGCCGATGGTCGAGAGGGTAAGGTATCGCTACCCTCGCTCTTCCGCCTCACCAGCTCGCCGGAGTAGAAGGTGCGCTCCTCGACCGCCGCCTGCACGTCCATCACGCTCCTAGCGGACTCTGCGACAGGTCAGGCCGAGGTGTCGTCGTCAGTATAGGCGGGGAGGTCGGTTCGTAGGGAGGACGATGAGGGAGGACATCGGAGAACGAGAGATTCCAGAGAGTCGAGCCGATTTGCTTCTGGAAGTGTTCTGTGGTCATGCTGGGCGAGGAGGGTGGGGAGACGACGAAGACGAGTGATTCTGGTGGGAGTTCTGGAGGAGCGTGATGAAGCCGAGGAGAACGAGTGGTTCACACAATTCGAATTTGGATTTAGGCTCAGGGTGACGTCGTCGATGAGGTCGATGATTCGGGACGACGAGGGAGGAGTTGATGGAAGGACGAAGTGAGGGAGGAGAACGAGTCGTCGTTCGGGAGAAGAATGAAGGTGACGGGGAAGGATGTGGGAGGTGGCAAGTAATTCAAGTGACTCGAGTTTCGGAGTTTCTGCAGGAACGTGACGATGTCGTGGGTGAGGACGATGATGTGTGGGTCGATGATCGATGCTTCAGCGAAACGACGTCGTTGAGCAACGGCAAAGACAAATGACTCGGATAATGTTGTCAACAGCAAGAAAGTCGCTGAATCGTTCTCGCTTTCCTCCGTCATTGTCGTCGAGAGCCGACGCGAGGAACGCGTTCAAGCGCAATGGCATGTGGCGATCGCAAGGGTGACCTTCCCCAAATTCTGATCAAGCTAATTGCAACGGTTGACCGAGCCGGCAGGCTCGCCGAGGCGGCTTGCCAGTGTGAAGGATAAGAGATACATTGCGTCACCAGGACGAGGAAAAAATTCTCTCCTGCCGTTTTTCAAAAATTATACGTAACGTTGCCGTCAGTTTAAAATATCGACTGCTATCTTTGCTCCGCACAGAATTATCAATTTTTTATCATTCAGCCGACACAAATTAGCGAGAGATTGCTCTTGGCAATTCTCCGGATTAATTAGTTTAATCCGAGTTTGGCGACAGTCATCCCCTAAGCAAGCCGTATGACAGCGTGATGATGACAGCGATATTGGCGTGTGGGCGTGTGTGTGTGTGTGTGTGTGTGTGTGTGTGTGTGTGTGTGTGTGTGTGTGTGTGTGTGTGTGTGTGTGTGTGTGTGCGTGTTTGCGTACGTGTAACGTGTTTTTCAACGACGCACTCGTTAACACGTTGGACGCCATGACGGTGACCGGTGCTATTGATCTCTACGATGCTATCACGTCTCATTACGTTATGCAACGAGGTATACTAAGTGCACGTGAAAGATTGATCGTACGTTGCTAATAGAGAACTGATGAGACAACAGTGAAAACGAGAGAGATACATGTACATATATAATTATATATACATATATATATATATATATATATGCGTCTTAAATTACATGTATTTACCGTATCCTTGGTAAGATCAGTCATCGGTTAAGATTTTATTCGATCAACGGAAATCAACGTGTTAATCCCCGTGGTGCAGTAACCACTTTGCAAATCTTCCCTCATCCCCGCTAATTCGCGCGTCTCCCCGCGTGTGTCGTGTGAGTTTCTCGGTGACTCGACTCGGCACTTCAAGCGACGGTCCGGGGTAACTAAAATACTGAAGCAAATCAAATTAGATGGAAATCAAACCGAGGAAAGAACGCGAGAAAGCCGACTAAGGAGAGAGTACGAAAGAATGGAGAGAGAGAGAGAGAGAGAGAGAGAGAGAGAGAGAGAGAGAGAGAGAGAGAGAGAGAGAGAGAGAGAGAAAGTGGAAGCGAGTCGAGGTTCCAGTCCAAGGAGGAATACGCCAGACTTCGAAATCGCTTCGCAATTTCATCGATCAGACGAGAAGAAATGCGTCGGGGAGCGGATTTATCGCGTCCGCTGGCGGTCGCCCGAGCGGAGAATTCCCCGCTCTGTGCGACAGCAGTGTGACAACAAGGTACATCGTTTGACTACTCGAGCGAACGGCATATATAGCCCTGCTATAGCACAGACCGCAGGAGAGTGGAAGAAGCGTTTGAACGATACAAAAAACGAGAGGGGGCCCAGCCGCGCGCAGGTTCGCGCAAAGAGCGAGCCGAGCGCGCGAGAGAGACAGCTCGGGAGAGACCCCCTACGTGCTATCAAGCTTGATCGTGCACAGAACCAGAAGCGGATCCGCCACCAAACTCTCTTCAGCCGCACTTCCTTCACGCTCTCTCGTCGTCGAGACCGCCCGAGACGTCGGGCTTGAGCGAGAGAGATTGTTATATCGTTCCCGCCGCGAAATCCCGACACGGCGATTATCAAATCAACGTGGCGCAAGATCCCCGGATCGAACTTCGGTGAAAACCGAGAGAGAGAGAGAGAGATCGCGAGAGAGTGTGTAAAAAGCGCTGCTAAAAAGGGATCAGATCCAGAAAAAGAGAGAGAGAGAGAGAGAGAGAGAGAGAGAGAGAGAGAGAGAGAGAGAGAGAGAGAGAGAGAGAGAGAGAGAGAGAGAGAGAGAGTCGAGAGTTTTGGTGATGATTGTTGTCTTACGATCCTCCGTCTCAGCTCGTGTTATTAATTTCGCTCCTAATCATTCGCGCGATAAGCAGCAAGCGGCTGCGGCTGCGGCCGGCGGCCACGGCTAAACTCGTCCTCGGGCTCGGGGGTGGCTACGACCCCGCGAGCATTACACGCCCTTAGGCTCGCCTCTGCAAAGGTGCAAAAGTACATGAGTGGGCGCATCGACGGACAAGACACACGCTGGCGTTCCATTGTGTGCCTTCTTTCTTCCTTGTGCCATGTGTGCGAGTATGTGTATGTCAAGTGGTGAACGATCCTCGTCCTCAGGCGAGACACACGGCGCGCACCCCACGATACGCGCGCAAGATCGGCTCGATCGAGATCTACGCGAGGAGGGAGGGGGAGGGGGAGCGGGAAAAGGGGGACACTTGGCCGGATTTGGGCGTGAAAAAGCCGACTGGCGTCTCGTTTTCATGTTCTCGCTCGAGGCTGCCTTTCGAGCTGCGATATGAAAGAGAGCTCTTTTTCTCTTTCAGCGACAGAGGAAGAGAGAGAAGGAGATAGAGAGAGAAAGAGAGAGAGAGAGAGAGAGAGAGAGAGAGAGAGAAAGAGAGGAATCCTGCACGTGCCCCTCCCTCTGTGCCCTTCGACGCGTCGATGCGATGTGCTGAAGGGGATGTGTGAGAGTGACGCGATCTTAGCCCGGATTCGCGCGAGCCGGGGGGGCGGTCGTAGTCGAGTCGAATCGTCGCGCGATGACAGGTGAGTGGTGATAAGTGGCGACGAGGCGAAGAGAAACGCAAGTCTTTGAGCTTCGCGCCGCCAAACAGCGCGGAGGATTGTGCTGACCGGCCGGCCATGCCGTGCGCGTCGTGCGGTGCTGATGGATCTCGAGTGCCCTCGGCTTCTCCAAGCGGTTTGTGAACGCTTTCCTCCCTGAATGCTGCGGTTCAAGACGCGCGCGGCAGGTGTGCAACGAGAGGACTGACTCAACTCGCGGGAATCTCTCTTCAGAAATACAGTCCTCTCGTTGAGCCATCGGCCGCGTTCCGGAGTGCATCCAAGGAGGAAGGAGGGTTCGAGCCGCTTTGGGAAGCAGCGCGCGACCGCATCGCGTGACGGACGAGATGAATCGAAGGGAAGTAGACAAGAAGATGTGCATAAAAGTGAAGAGAAACCAGCCCAAAGTCTCTTCAGGGTGGAGTTTTCTGCCGCCAGTAGATCCACCGCCGGCACGCACGGTTGGCTCTTCGGGATTACGATAAGGATACGGTTAAAGAGAGAAAAAGAGACAGAAAGAGAAAGAGAAAGAAAGGAAGAAAGAAAGAGAGATTGTCCTTGGTAGGATCTGCCTCAGAACGAAAACTTACATAGTCCTCCTACCTTGGAGGTCTTGGCGTAGGTCGCTGCAGCTCTTCCCGGCTTTCGCCTGGCTGACGTTCGTACGATGGCGGATGGACGTAGCGGTCACGACGGGTCCTGGGCCAGGACTCGGAGTACGCGACGCGGGTGGCAGCCCCAGGAGGGAGTCAAGTACGTCCTCCAGGGTCGTGGAACCCGGACTCGGTTTGTTCCGCAGAAGAGCTGCCGTCGCCATCGCCTCGTCCGTATCGCTCTGGCCCGATCCTGATCGGTTTCATGCGGGGGTAAAGAAGAGACAGAGAGGTTTGCGTCATCCTCTTGGCCTCGAAAGCGTGCGTGTTCTGTGTGTGCGTATATGTATGTATGTATGTACATGTACGTGTATGCGGGGCGAAGCTGACCCTTACCCGCGTGATTTTCCATTAATCCCGTAATTAATTTTAAAACGGTTGCCTTTTCATCACCCTTTTAACTCGATTGCGTGGACTTTCACTCACGGATTCCGTCTTTTGCACACACGGCTGCGTGTGAGTGTGTGTGTGTGTCGGAGTGAGAACGGAACAATCCCTTCCAATTCCATCCTTTTCGCTTCTATCAGTCCCGTTAATATCAAGCGGATCCTTTCCCCACTGCGCACCTCCGGATTAATCTTGTTAATTTCCTCATGGTTCTCTCGCGCGCACAGATGTCGTTCGTGTTAGAGAGAGAGAGAGAGAGAGAGAGAGAGAGAGAGAGAGAGAAGAGAGAGAGAGAGAGAGAGAGAGAGAGAGAGAGAGAGAGAGAGAGAGAGAGAGAGAGAGAGAGAGAGAGAGAGAGAGAGAGAGAGAGAGGAGAGAGAGAGAGAGAGAGAGAGAGAGAGAGAGAGAGAGAGAGAGAGAGAGAGAGAGAGAGGAGAGAGAGAGAGAGAGAGAGAGAGAGAGAGAGAGAGAGAGAGAGAGAGAGAGAGAGAGAGAGAGAGAGAGAGAGAGAGAGAGAGAGAGAGAGAGAGAGAGTGAGGAGGAGGAGGAGGAGGAGGAGGAGAGAAAGAGCGAAGGAGAAAAGGAGGAAGAAAGAGAAGAGAGGAGAAGAAAGAGGCTCTCGCCTCCATATTAATAACAAGTGTGTGTGTGTGTGTGTGTGTGTGTGTGTGTGTGTGTGTGTAACTGACGAAACTGCCGAGCAATTTGCAATTTTCTGATATTCAGAGGTGACAGACAATGTGCCTTTTTGTTTGGTGTGTGCCGGATCGAATCTCAGGATCGCACTGACAATCGATCGATTCGACATTCGACACCATCGATCGTGCTTTACGCACGCGCGCGCGCGCGCGCGTGCGCATGCACGCACGCAAGTGCGGCTCGAGAGAGGACAGCTTTACACACAACGAATGCGGAAAAATAGGCGGACGTGGAGCTTGGACTTTGTTGTGCTCGAGAACAGGTGTACACGTCGTTCCTAGGTGATTCGAAGAAGCGACAGCAAGATCCTGCAGCACTTACCGTGAACGCAAGCAGAACGTAGTACATACGCGCGCGCGCGCACACGCACACACACACACACACACACACACACACACACACACACACACACGCACGCACGCACGCACGCACGCACGCACGCACGCACGCACGCACGCACGCACGCACACAGTGTGGTCGGGAGTGAACGGAGAGACGTTCATCGCGAGAGCGCCGCTACGATAGACAGGTAGGTAGACAGACAGATGGGTAGATCCTCGGCTTCTCGAAAAATGCACAAACAACACAGTATGTACAAGTTTCGGCGCTGTGCGCCGAATACATACATCTCTCTGTACAATGAAAAGTCCTGCCGCAGTTAACCGATAACAATCAGCGATAAACGAAACATACACGCAAGATAACACAAAGGAACTAAAATAAAAATGAAACTAAAAATAACGGTCGATGGAGATGGGTAGAGATGGATAGAGAGAAAAAGAGAAATGCAGAAAGAGAGAGAGAGAGAGAGAGAGACAGAGAAAAGCGCAAAGGGAGAACGCGCGGAGAGCTTCAACGGAGCGAACACAAAGGATAGTGACAATAATTTATTGTTTGCCAAGGGTGCTTGCGCTTTACAGTGTAGTAATCGTCGGTGTGTCCGGACCATAAGTACGGAACCGTTCGAGATAGAGATAAAGAGAGGAAAAAGAAGAAAAAGATCAGAGAGCGAAGAAAATGAAAAATTGCAGAGATAGAGAGAGAAAGAGAGCACCGGGCACGCAGAATCATCGCGAGATCGTCGCTTCCGTTTGCCTTGTTGCGCGCAATTCGTGCGATCGGATATCTACCACCAGAGTAATACTCGCGCACACTGTCGATCTTAATTACAAGACAAAGATCATTAAGGCACTTGGAGGGACAGAGAGAAAGAGAGAGCAGAGAAAGAGAGACAGACAAAGAAGGGAAAAAGAGAGAGAGAGGCAGCGGAGATGCGCGCGAATGATTCTGTGAGCTCTGAAGTCGTAACTAAAATATATAATAATAACAGCAATTATACAATTAAAAATATAATAATAATCAATAATAATAATAATAATAATTAAAGACAATGATCGCAATAATA